CAGCTCAACTGGAATTCCATCCCCTCCACTAGCTTTGTTCGTAGTGATGCTTCCTAAGGTCCACTTGACTTCACATTCCAGGATGTCTGGTTCTAGGTGAGTGAGCACACCATCGTGATCATCTTGGTCATGAAGGTCTTTTTTGTATAGTTCTTCTGTGTATTCTTGCCACCTCTTCTTAATATCTTTTGCTTCTGTTAGGTCCATACCATTTCTGTCCTTTACTGAGCCCATCTTTGAGTGAAATGTTATTATTTATGTTAGTGATTGTTATTATCACTACTATATAAAGATAGTACACTTAGGGAAATGAGTCCATTCCTTAAAATCAAAACAATAATAACAAAAAGAGCTGAATCTTTTATGATTAAGAAGATGGTGATTCAAGATTAACACAATTTCATATTTACTAATAAAGCATGGCCGGTAGGATGGGAACCACAGCTTTGGAGTGGCTATTCCTTGTCAGACATTGAGTGAGGTACCTTATAAATCTATCTTTATGCCATCTTTTCAATTCACACAACTAATGGGTTATTATTCCCATTTCAGAGGTGAAGCAAAAGAGAGTCAGAAAGATCCAATATGTTGCTGAAGAACATGAAGTTAACAAGAATCAGACATAATCTACATACCATAAAATTCACCTATTTTAAATGTATAGTGCGTGATTTTTAGTTTGGAGAGTTGAGTATTCATCACCACAATCTAAATTTAGAACATTCTAAAAAATAAAGAAATAAATAAATTTAGAACATTCTTATCGACTCCCAAAGAAGTCCCTTACCATTAACTGTCACTCCCCTTTCTTCCTCTTCTCAGCTCCTGGCAACCTGTAATCTCCATTCTGTCTCCATAGATTTGCGTGTTCTGGATATTTTATATAAATGGATTCATATAATATGTGATCCTTAATTTGGCTTCTTTCACTTAACAGCGTTTTCTAGGTTCATCTGTTTGTAGCATGTATCAGTACTTCATTTTAAAAAACTATTTATATATTTCTTGGCTGTGCTGGGTCTTGCTGTGCATGGGTTTTCTCTAGTTGTGATGCTTGGGCTTCTCATTGTGGTGGCTTCTCTTGTTGTGGCTCATGGACCCTAGAGCACATGGGCTTCAGTAGTTTGGCACAAGGGCTCCTCTTGGGGTGCATGGGCTTAGCATGGGCTTAGTGGTGCTCCGAGGCATGTGGCTTCTCCCTGGACCAGGGACCTGTGTTCCTGGCATTGGCAGGTGGATTCTTAATCGCTAGACCACTGGGGAAGTCCAGTTCTTCATTCTTTTTTTATTGTGAATAATATTCCATTGTATGTATACATTACATTTTGTTTATGCATTCATCTGTTGATGGGCACTTGGGTTATTTTTCACCATTTGGCTATTGTGAATAATGCTGCTTTGAATATTGGTATAAAAATACCTATGTTTCTGCTTTCTTTTAGATATATACCTAGGAGTGGAATTGCTGGATCATATGGTAATTCTATGTTTAACTTTTTGAGGGGCTGCCAAACTGTTTTCCACAGCAGCTGCACCATTTTACATTCCTACCAGCAATGCACAAGGGTTCCAATTTCTCCACATCCTTGCCAACACTTGTTATTTTTTATTCTAGCCATCCTAGTGGGTGTGAAGTGGGTATCTTATTGTGGTTTTGATTTGCATTTCCCTGATGGCTAATGATGTTGAGCATCTTTTCATGTGCTTATTGGCCATTTGTATATCTCCTTTGGGAGAAATGTCTCTCCAAATCCTTTGCACATTTTAAAATCATGTTTAAAAAATATCTTAAATTTTATACCTCTTTATATATTCTGATTGTAATACTTCTTTATATATAAGTCTCTTGTCAGGAAAAGGATTGGCAAATATTTTCCCCCATACTGTGGGCTGTCTTTTAACTTTCTTGAAGGTGTTGTTTGAAGCAAAAAGTTTTAAAATTTTGATGAAGTCCAATTTATTTTTTCTCCTATTGCTTATGCCTTTTTGTGTGATATTTAAGAAATCATCGCTTGAGCCAACTTCATGAAGATTCACTGTTATGTTTTTGCCTACAAGTTTTATAGTTTCAGCCTTAAGTTTAGGTGTATGATCTATTTTGAGTTAATTTTTAGATATGATGTGAGATAAGAGGTCTCAATTAATTCTTTTACATGTAGATATTAGTCCATGTTGGTATATATAGAGAGTTTTCCACAATAAAAACTTAATTTGAAAAAAGCCAATTTTTTTAAAATTTACTTTTTTGGTTTTGGTTTTTTTTTTAATTGGCTTTTTGGTTTTGGTTTGGTTTTTTAAAATTATTCATTTTTGGTTAAAAAAAAGTTCAAAAGTAGGTAGAGCTGACATGGCTGTTCTATAATCATTGTTGAACCAAGATCCTGCTTCATCTGTTTATTTCAACAAACATTGCTATATGTGGCCTTCATCTTCAAGATTACCTCATGGTCACAAGGTAGTTGGTGAAACCCCAGTCAACACCTCTACATTCTGAGGAGGAAGGAAAAAAAAAGGCATGAAAGCCTCTTCAAGTAACTTTACCTAAAACCAATTAAAAAGCTTGGTTTTATATCTCATTGCTGATTCCTAGAGTAGTGAGTCTGGGCACATTAATATCAAGGTAAGGATTCTGAAAGTAAGTCAAGAGCATATGCACCAATATCAAGTAGCCCAAGCAACAGGCCATGGTGGAGACTGGCAGTCACCTACCCAATATCTATTCTTCAACATCCTTAGTGGCAAGTAGGATTGAGGGATGAGCTCAGTATTGCTGGAGCTTCCAAGTTTTAGATGCTTAGATTCTCCATTTTATATGAACCCTCCAGATTTTTCAATGTTGGCAACTAACCAAAACCAATATTTAATCTTGCCTGGGCCAAACACAATACATCTGTGGCCCATATCCCATCTCTCTTTTGCTTGTTGGCAACCCCTGCTTTCTGGTGAATGTCAGAGCCCTTTAAACACCTGAAGGGCATGGGAGCCGGGTTACACTTCCTCTGTGTGGCTCTGAGCCAGTGCATGGAAGTCACGAGCTAGGAGGTTTTGTCTCCCCTGTTAGGAAGAGCTCCATCCGCAGAGCTGTCAGAAACAGAAGGAGCTGCCTGGGGAGGTAGGAAGTCCCCTGTCGCTGGAGGTGTCTGAGCAGATGCTGGAGAACTGCTTGGCAATGACTTCTAAGGTCTCCCCTGCCCCAGGAGTCTCTGAAAATTCCCATGGCGACTACTGCTGCTGCAGTGACTTGTTTGAAAGGAGACAGAAAGAAGGCAAGAGGTTCTGCATCTGGATTGTCAGGGAGCTCACAGCCCCCAGCTGCTGTGTCCCCACCCCCTCAATGACAAGGAATATGCCCTCTCCATCAAGATGACCTCTAGTCAGTTTTCCCCATAGAGAGCAAAGGTTGTCTTCCCAAATATGGACAAGCGTGATTCATCTCCACTCATTGCATGGTATGCAACAGACATGTGGCTTTTCTCCCGGAGGGTGATTCAGGCTATTCAATTCTATTTATTTATTTATTCAAATTTTCAGTGCTGGCTTTATGGGCATGTGACCTATGTAGGTATATAGGGACCTGCATTCAGGAGGACCCTATGATTGTGGTCTTGCCTGGGCCAAACAATCTTTTTTCAAAGATTTTTTTGATGTGGACCATTTTTGAAGTCTTCATTGAATTTGTCTCAATATGCCTTCTGTTTTGTGTTTTGGACTTTTGGCCAGAGGCATGTGGGATATTAGCTCCACAACCAGGGATCAAACCTGTGGTCCCTGCCTTGAACGACAATATCTTAGCCACTGAACTGCCAGAGAAGTTCCTGATGCCTTTTTCTTAAAATTCTAATCCTTTTGGAACAAGGGACCCTACATTGAACTGGGCCCTGCAAATTAAGTAGCTGGTCCTCCATACTTTTACTCAAAATGTGTTCATTGTCTAGCAAATGCCAGGCAATGAGGATACAGAGCAAGACCCACTGTGTTCATAGTCCACTTGGGAGCAGGGGGATGGGAAAAGCTGAGTGGTAAGAAACTGCTGCGATAGCTGCTGTGGAGCACACTGTTTGTAAGAGGGAACATCACCCAGACAGAGAGGTTGGAAACAGAGAAGGCTCTTCAGAGGACTCAAGCTCTGAACTTCAGTTGTTTGTTGAAAATCATTATTCTATTATAAGAGAACTGTAGTCAGGGACATGGCTGCTTAACGAAGGACTACATTTCCCAGCATCCCTGGCAGTTAGTTGTGGTCATGTGACTACATTATCACCAATAGCATGAGTGAAAATGAAGTGGACCACTTCAGGGTCTGGGCTGCAAAAAACATCCCAATGTGCCTTCTCCAACCTCTCTTCCTCCTCCCTGCAGATGGAATCTGCACGTGATGGTGACCCAGCTTCCATCATGCAGATGATCTTGAGGACCAAGAGGTCGGCAGAACAGAGACTGGAAGGAACCTGAGTTTCCAAATAACCGTGAGGAGCAAAGCTTCATTCACCTGGACTGTTCATCTCACAACTGCTACATGAACAGAAAGAAATATATTCTTTAAGCCATTACATTCTGGGATCTATGTTAGCCTACTCTACCAAATACAATGAGTTTATAGGAGTTAGCCACATGGAGAAATGGAAAGAGACAGATTTCAAAGCATCCAGTCAAGAGAGAGCATTGAACTTCAAGATGCATGAAGCAGTGGCTGTGAAAAGGCTGCTATAATAATATGATATCTCAGACATTTTTTTCTCACAGTTCTGGAGGCAGGGAAGTCTAAGATCAAGGGGCCTGTAGATTCAGTGCCTGGTGAGAGCTCTTCCTGGCTTGCAGAAGGTTGCCTTCTCATTGTGGTTTCACATGGTGTGGAGAGGGAGCTCTGGTCTCTCCTCCTCTTCTCATAAGGACACTCATCGAATCATAGGGGCTCCACCCTCATGACCTCATCTAACCCTAGTCACTTCCCAAAGGCCCCACCTCCAAATACTATCTTATTGGGAGTTAGATCTTCATGAATGGGGGAAGGGGGCACAAACATTCAGCCCATCACAGGTGGAAGGAAGGAAGACTGGGCCACAGCTTGGACCTTGTGTGCCTTGAGAGAAACTTGTATGCAATCCTGTGGACTGTGGGGAGCCAAGCTGGGGAGTGATATGATCAGGTTAGCTTTTCAATCTGTCAGCTTGAGCTGGAACCTACAAATTTTTAAATTTATGAAGTACTTCAGAAGACCAGCCAGTCACACAATGAGCACTCACATACCCACATCTGAGCTTGAAAAATATATCACAGACAAAGTCCTCGGTGTTCCCTTCCTACTGCTATCTTCAGCTTAGTATTTCTTTTTTTTAAGGGCACTTGGAAAGGGCAAGAGTAGAAACAGGACATGCATCATCTAGTGTGTCCTCAGCATCCTGCCAAGTACTGTCCTGTAGTACATGTATTGAAGAAACAGACAAAACTTTTGTGTTCCCAGAGAGCACCAAGTCCTAACCATTGGACAACCAGGGAATTTCCAAGATACAGGATTTAATCTGGAGCACAGATAAGAAGATATGATGGAGTATTTGCTTAGGATCTCCAACCATTACCTATCTCTTCTGATTCCTATGTAGATAAATGATGCAGTTACAAGAAATCTGAATTATGTTTCTGGAAGTTTAAAGTTCTGAGAAGGACTTGGAAGGATTTGAGGCTACAGGTGGTATTCCATCTTTTCATCCAGCTGATGACTGTGACTTTGGAAGAGAAAGGAGAGGATTCTGGGAGTGAACAGCTGGTGATGTTGATGGTGTTGATGAGGGTTTCATTTCCTGGGCAAAAAGCCCAAGATACTGGAATAGAAGGCTCCTGGCAAAGGACAGAGAGTCACAGAGACAGGGAAGAATGTGTTTGGCAGGAGATTTCCCAGTGCCATCAAAGGCCATTTAAAAATATTGTTATGGGATATGGAGTGGACAGCTGCTCAGCATCCATTTGCCATCTTCTCTTACCAGCTTCTTTATCTTGAAGGGAAACCTTCCATCTTCAACTCATAGTCCATTTGGCTAAAGGGGGTTGATTCCTTCCTTTGCTTCCAGAAATAGTCAATCAAAATCTTAAAGACTGTTTTGGAGCTTGGCTATGTGACCGGATCTGGATCAACGAGAGTTGTCACCAGGACTTCACTCAAATGATTTGGAATGGGGTAGGCCTTCTTTTTTTAGGGCTTTCCTGGTGATTCAGATAGTAAGGAATCTGCCTGCAATGCAGGAGACCCAGATTCAGTCCCTGGGTCAGGAAGATCCCCTGGAGAAGGAATGGCAACCCAATCCAGTATTCTTGCCTGGAGAATCCCATGGACAGAGGAGCCTGGAAGGCTAGAGTCCATGGGGTCGCAAAGAGTCGGACAGGACTGAGCAACTGATACTTTGACTTTACACTTTCTTTTTTTAAAAAAAATTTTGGTCTTGCTGCACAGCTTTTTGGATCTTGGTTCCCTGACGAGTGATTGACCAGTGTGGGGAGCTTTCCCCTGCATTGGAAGCATGGGGTCTTAACCACTGCACCACCAGGGAAGTCTTTCTTGCTTAGAGTGGCTGAGATGATAGATTATAAACTTGGAGCTGCTGAATGCTACCTATCTTAATGAATCTGAGAGGGAAGTCAATATAGCAGAAAGTTGAGCCTCATGATGGAGAGAAATTCCTGAAAACATTAGAACCCCTGGATTTAACCATGTTTGCAGCTAACCCTACCCCTTGAACTTCTCAGTTGTATGAGCCAATATTCTCTCTCCTGCTCTGTCTCCAGTTTAGTATAGTTTCTGTGAACTTGTTACCACTGATAGGAGAAAATGAAAAACAGCCTTTGTGATATAGATAGAAACAGGGTAACAGAGACAGTGCTATTATTCTTGAGCAAAAATAAAGACAGCTGGTCCAGACTTTATTTATGGCCTTGCTTGTCTATCTCCCAATGTGAAGGGTACAGGCAATGGATAAAGGCAAGATTTTCATGTTACCGGAAGAAGATAAATAAAATTTCATAAGAAGCACTCTCGGTTTGGAGGGGATTCCTAACTAGAAAGTGACAATGGAAGGATATATACTGCTTTAAAAATGCAAATCTAATGGAAAGGGAAAATTATGTATACATTATTAGCAAAGAAGGTCTTTCCACCAGTGTGGAGAGCTTTGTGGTCGAGAATGAGGAGAACCACAGAAACAAGTCCACACTCCACTTTCCACCCCCACCCTAGACCAGAGGAAACTTCCATAATATGCTTTTGCTAATTAGTCTTGTGGTAAAGGCCACAAAACAGTGTTCACAGGGAATTCCACTTATTGAAACATAAACCGGAATTCTCCTTTTGCTGACGTTTAGAGCATCTGATAAATTATCAGCTTACTTTGCTAACAGTTTCTCAGAACACAGGCGTAATAACAGAAGAAGCTGTTCTGTTAAAGTATTTCCCCCCTTGACTATAAAGGGAAGGTGTCCCTTTTATGGAAAATTGGATAATACGGTGGTCTAATGGCAACGGCTGATCAATCTATTTCCAGATGTAATGATGGGACTTGTGTGCCAGATACTGGCTAATTATCTCATCAATAGGCTCATTTAATCTCTGCAGCAGTTTTAAGAGATACATTCTTGCATGAGCCTCATTTTTGTAGATGAGGAGACTGAGGTTTATCGAAATTAAAAAAATTTGCTAAGCCAAGTGGGTATCATAGAATCTGAACTCATCCATCGGAATCCTAGCCACTGCACTGTGCTGCGTCTTTCATTCCATAGGTATAAATTCTCCATTTGATGGTATATTTATCCTTTTGTAGATTGCTTTTTTCCTTCCATTGGATATTATGATGAGAGCACTTTCCCATTTTGTTAAAAACTTTTTTTTTAAGTGCACAATTCAGTGTTTATTAGTGAAAACTCTTAAAGTTTTCAAAATTTAAAAAAAAAGTAATGAGACTAATCTAAGGGAGGTCTGTACACCCATTGCCCAGCTTCTACAGTTGTTAATATCAACCAAACACCAACCCTCCTCAAACTAAAAACACTCCAATTTTTAACCCACCTTGTTTCCTCCATCCACTCCTCACTCCCTTATCTAAAGCAAGTTGCAGATGTTGTTGTTTAATCATTAAGTTGTGTCCGACTCTGTGACCCCGTGAATTGTAGCCTGTCAGGCTCCTCTGTCCATGGGATTTCCCAGGCAAGAATACTGGAGTGGGTTGCTATCTCCTTCTCCAAAATTAGAATCACATTTTATCTGTAAATACTTCAGTATGAAATTTTAGTAATTCCTAAGGAGTATCAGATATCCAGTCTATGCTCAAAATTTCCTGGTGTAAATATTATTGTAAATACTTTTGTAAATTTGATTCTGGGACTTCCCTGGTGGTCCAGTGGCTGAGATTTGAGCTCCCAATGCAGGGGGCCCAGGTTCAGTCTCTGGTCAGGGAACTAGATCCCACATGCCGCAACTAAAGTTTCCACGTGCCGCAACCAGGATTGAAGATCCTGTGCATGCTGCAACTAAGACCTGGGTCAGCCAAACTACTGAGCCTTCGTGCTGCAACTACTGAAACCCATGCACCTAGAGCCCATGTTCTGCTACCAGAGAAGCCACCGCAGCGAGAAGCCTGAGCAGCACAACGAAGAGTAGCCCCAACTCACTGCAACTGGAGAAATCCTGTGCATAGCGACTAAGACCCAGTGCAACCAAAAAGTTAAAAAAAAAAGAATTGTTTGCATCATCTCGAACTGCATTGTCAGTGAAGGACCACTAAGCCCTTGTGGCTATTTATATTTACATTCATTAAAATTAAATACAATTTGGATGCCCCCCCCCCTCAGTTGATGGCCACCTTCAAGGGGTTGATAGCCCTCAGTTAGTGGCTATCAAGGAGCTTCCCAGGTGGCTCAGTGGTAAAGAATCCGCCTGCTAATGCAGGAGACATGGGTTTGATCCCTGGGTCAGGAAGATCTCCTGGAGGAGGAAATGGCAACCCACTCCAGTATTCTTGCCTGGAAAATCCCATGGACAGAGGAGCCTGGTGAACTACAGTTCCTGTGTTTGCAAAGAGTCAGACACAACTGAGCACAGATGTGGTAGTGGCTGTTAAGATAACTGGCTCTATAGATAACTGTGTGGTTAGTGGCTTTCTTATTGGATAGTGTGGATAGAGGACTTTGTCCATCGTCACAGAAAGTTTTGTTGGGCAGCTGGTCTAGGAAGGAACATTATTTATAAGGGCAGGAGAATCTAAGCAATTAAAAAATATCTGCATTGGTAATGGTGGAAGGTCTTGAAAGTGTGCTGCACATCTGCATGGGGACCTTGACCAGCTTATATCACTCAAGAGGAAGCAGCATATGTATCTCAGGTCTCATCATTCATTTACTTCCCTGCCCTGATTGAACCACTTAGCCATGTACCAGTGAGGTTGGTTTTATTTTTATAACTTACTTCCCTTTTTCTCAAAAAAGCAAGCAAACAAAAAAACCAAACCCTATTCATACTCAGTAGTGGAAAAGATGAAGTTAGCCCAATCTTATAAATACAGCTCTGCCCAGCCACTTCCAGTTTAAAATAGCTTCATTTCGAGGAAATGTGCCATCATGTTCAGATGTTGTCATTTTTCATCACATGTCAGTTGAGAGCTTCCTTGCCCTGGGTTCGGGGAGCAGAAGATGACTTTGTTTATTAACGCCTCTTTCCCTCCTCCCTGCAGCCCCTCGTGCCAGCTCTGAGGGTCTCCTGTGGAAAGTGGAGAAGGAGGACCCCTCCTTTCTCTATCAGGCTATGCTTCTCTGCTTGACTAGCCCTCAGCATCCGCTGGTGGCTGTGTACTTGGCTGGCCCCACCAATATGGGGTACCAGGTAGGATTCGGCCTTGAGGCTTGGTGCAGTCAAGGCCTGTTCACCTCCCTTTCTCCACCCCACACCCTTTCCCTTACTTCTCCCTGGTGCTGAAAGTTACTGACTCCATTTATAAAGGGTACATTGGTTATCCATTGCTGCAGATCAAATGACCCCAAAATGCAGTGGCTGAAAACAATAAACCATTATTATTCCACATCGTTTTTGAGGGTTAACTGGGTGGTTCTGACTCCAGGTGTCTTGTGTGGGCTCTGTCAGAATCTCAGCTGAGCTTCATCACCTGAAGGCTTGACTGGGGCTGGGGCGCCACTTCCAAGATGGTGTGCCTGCATACCCATTGGCAAGAGGCTCAGTTCTTTGCCACATGGGCCTCTCCACAGGGCTGCTCATGACCTGGCAGCTGGTTCCCCCAGACCAACTGATTCAAAAGAGAGAATGACCAAGATGGAAGTGTCTTTTAAA